ACATGACCTAGGTCATGTCAGGGTCAGAGTAAAACTCTCTTGTGTTCTGCTAAGCAGCTAGGGGCCTATAATGTCTGGTACCTTATTCATGAAATAATTATTTATTAATTAAGATCTAGTCAATTTTTTACTGTTGTACAATGTTTGATACTTCTGATTTGTCTCCGTCCAATTTCTTGTTCAGCCTTGATCGAGTTATTCTCCCTATGTATGTATTTCATAAATAAAAGTGTTTGTTTTAATAAACAATTTGTTTTGATTCATCTATTTTCAAGTAGGTTGTGACTTCACTGGTGATAGTTGGCTAAATCTCAATCCTATGCAACAACACTGATCTATGCCCAATTATTTTTACGAGCAAAGAGGAGTGTTGTCCCAAAAGTATTGAGGTGCTCAGGATGGATAGATGATTGGATGCATCTGCAGGATGGCTTGAACTGAAAATAAAAAAATAAAAGTAAGAGTAATGCTGTTATTTGGGTTTTCCTTACATGTACCTTATTAGATGACATTATCATCTACATTACATATTATTATTTTTATTCATTATTATTATTATTATTATTATTATTATTATTATTATTATCATTATTAGTACATTATTATTACATGTCATGAGGGTTTTGTTAAGTATTAATAATGAGTGTGACCATTTGTGCCTACCTAATGTCAAGAATCACCACCGACACAGTCGGTCCATAAAAGTCCATCCAAGGTGTTGGTAATATTGTCTTTCGACTCGAATGGCTATGGTTGCTTCCTTACTACAAATTTGTAGAAATCTTCTAAACAGGGTTGATATTAACCTTGAAGTCACCATGATCATGAGATGGAAAAGGTCAAAAATCACCACCGTAACAGTCAAAAATCACCACCGTAACGACCAGAGTCAAAATGTCAAAATCACCACCGACACGTAACTGTCCCAGAAGTATGCATTGAGCTCATTTATGCTGCATTTTTTGTCTACATAACTAGAGGAAAACTAGATGAATGCATAGTCATGTCAATTCCAATAGTCCAAGTGTAGGCGTCTGTGCTTTGAGAAAACAATTGTATCGGCTAGTCAAAATCACCACCGCAACGCACAACAAATTATGACTTTTTCATGAATTAGTCTGGACAGTTGAACCCTAACATGTTTTTCCTAGTTTATCATGTTGGGAACTTGACAATCAGCAAATCCAATTTCTTATAATATGTCACAAGATTACATAATGTGCAATATGTGATGACAAAAATCACAACCGCAACAATGTTGCTTGGGTGTAGTCATTAGACAATTTCCGAGTTTATGTGCGAAATGTTATGTCAGGCTTATGTTTTCCTGAAAATTTAGGTATTTTTCTTCAAAAGTAACAGGTTTACACACAAAAATTTCGACTTTTTAAATTTTTATTCCATGTCACACTTTTTGACACTGCACTGTGGACAGACCCATATGCACTATTGATATTGGACACATTTTAAACACAGCAGCTCTCCCATAACCTCCGGCGTGTCTGCCCTTTTCCCCTCTTGTTGGCAATTTTCTGGAACTGTCATCGCAGAGGGGTACACACAATGGTTCATTGCAGGACACCCCACTAGCGCCATCTCTCGTGAGATAAAACTATAAACGGTATAAACTGTAACATCTAGCTTACCACCTTTTAAGATTGCGGTTGCACACTTTTCCAAGCCGAACTCCATTTTGATGTCATCACTGAATGCTTTGACTGTTACCAAGGCCTGCTCCAGCTCATATTCGTTCTTGGTGAACAGTTTAAGGTCATCCATGTAGAGCAGGTGGCTGATGGTGTTGTGTTTATTGACTGTAAATCCCAGACCCTGTCTATTCAGCATGTTGGTAAGCGGTGTTAGTGCTAAGCAGAATAGCAGGGGAGAGAGCGAGTCGCCCTGGAAGATTCCTCTCTTGATTGAGATATCTTCTGTCCTGAGGCAGCCTCCTTGAGTGAAGAGGAGCATTTCAGTCTTCCATTTCTTCATTGTAGCTTCCATGAACTGAATGATGGTTGGTGACACACGGTACATGGTTCATGGCTGCGAGAATCCAGGAATGTGGGACACTGTCGAAGGCTTTCTTATAATCAATCCACGCCATTCCTAGGTTCCTCTTGAGCTTTTTTGCCACGCTCACAATCATGTTACCGATGAGAAGTTGGTCTTTGCACCCTCTAGACGCTCTTCTACAGCCTTTTCTGCTCATCTGTGAGGATGCTGCTCTTCTGTAAGTGATTGTAGAGGCGGTTGGTGATGGAAGCAGTGAGAATCTTGTAGGTGGTAGGCAGGCAAGTGATTGGTTGATAGTTCTTTGGTTCTTTTGTATCCTTGCCTTTTGAAAGAAGGAAAGTGATTCCTGATGTCAACCACTTTGGGCTATTGCTTGGATCCTTGATGGTGTCATTCAAGGCCCTGGTTAGTTGTTTATGGAATGCACTTAAATGCTTAATCCAGAAGTTGTGCAGCTTGTCTGGGCCATGAGACTTCCAGTTGTGGGTCCGCTTGATGGCCTGCTGTACCTCACACATTGTAATGTCAGTCCATACATCCATTGCTACATTCTGGAATGCTTCCTCCTCTTGTTTGATCCAAGTGGCTTTGGTATTGTAGTCTGTGCCAACTTCCAGTATTCCACGCCAGAATTTGATCGAGTTGGTCTTGAGAGGGAGGTTCCTTGATGGTGCTTTGCTGCTCATTGAGATGCCGGTAGAATTTTTTGGCATCTTCATGGAAGAGCTTATTCTGATAGTAGTGCTCACTCTGCTTAGTAAACCATCTCAACCTCTGAGTGTAACGCATGTTTAACACGTCACTGTTTTAAGTTAATGAAGTAGAATGTATGTGAAGCCAAAACACATAGATAAGAATAGACGTCAGATGTTTACCATGACTAGAACGCTTTTATTTGGTGAAGTTTACAATGCCTCGGTCGTGCCTGCTAGTAGCCCGGTTGCTGAGCGGAGTTCTCCCTTCTATCTCCTACTCCTCGTCTGACCCTTACGTTCGGACGAGGAGCAGCAGTCGGGAGTTTCTCCTCCCCTCCTCGTCTGACACTTACGCTCAGACGAGGAGCCGTCTAATCTCCTCGATTCCGCCCGCGCTCCGGCTTTTATACTC